TGGGACAGTAGCGATAAATTTCACCTCTGTTTAAACTGAGGTCTCCAACCTCTGTTAACAAAATTCAGTTTGAATATATTTGGACCGAGTATCAACCCTTGGGGTACTCCATGTGATATATGTATGCTGTTCTGTTCTCTAAATAGTTCTGTAGCTTACTGCTGTGGTTATTTGAGTCAGATAGCTTTCAAACAACTTTACGATGTGATTAGTTCTATAAATCTTCATGTCCGCAGGATAACATCTTAAATAATGAAAGCTAGTAAATAATAAATATAATATGGTGATATTTTTTTATGGGTAAGCCGGTAAACGAGCTGTCGAATCACCTGATGATAAGCTATCGGCGTCGCTCATGGACACCTGGAATACCAGAGGCGTTACAACTGCGTTACCGGCCGACTAGAAATTTGAGGATTGTTGGGGATTCACAGATTGTGGTAATTAGGCCTCCAGTAACCGAAGAAATACAACACAAGCGTCGTTTTACGTTGGTCTTTTGTGATGTCATGGTATCTATTTAGATATCGTGGTAGATATTTAGATAAACAATTCTGTGAAGTTAATTATAGGTTAATTTTCATGACTCAGTAATGATAATAGCAATCTTATCGTCAGTTTTTTACTATAAATTATTCATCTTGCAGATTTCAATATTATACTCACAATACCTGGTGAGGAAGCAACAGTGGGTGGTTCTTAACAGAAATCAAAATGGTAAGTTGGCCTTTTAACATTTGATAACTTTTCTTTTATTATTTTTTTTATTATACAAATCACAATTAGGAAACAGACTAACTAAAATATTATCTTCATTAATTTTTATTACTTGACAATTTCAGATGAAGAGCCTGATTCTGGTGGCGGTGCTCGCCGCTCTGACTGTCTGCAATGACGCAGCCACTCTTCAAAACCCTGCCTACAGGGCTAACCTCTACCAGGGAGCCATTAGACCCGGTGACAGACTTCTCCACAGGTATGCATAATTTTTTTTAAATGAACTTTTCTTTCACTCCATATTTGTTCACTGTTTATTAACCTGGGTATAGTTTAAAATTATTTACCTCGAAATCATCTTAATGTCAATCTATTTTTTATATGTATATGCTAATTCAAAATATTCTTCGTTGCAGCAACTACTACTACAAAAATCCCATTGCCAACGCTGTGCAGTACCAGGACATCACCTACCGTGGCAACTCCAGCACCAGGATCTCTTACATCCAAGTCACTGAGGTCGGCTACACCCAGTGGGGTATCCCATCCCTCAGGTCTGGTGGTGTCAACTTTCAACACGCTACCATCAGGCTGACGTCCAAGAGGCTACGGTTACTACTACCGTGTTGAGATCTGGGGTCGTTAAGACAACCATGAATATGATGATCTGGTCGATAGACAACCTCAAAGACTTAACGGCATGAACTAAGTAATGAAGCGGGTATTATTGTGTACATTAAAATAGTGAATCTTAAAAAGTGTAATAAAATTATGTATGGCCTAACTCATTTTTGTATTTACTTTCTTGTATCCTTATTTAAGTTTGAAGAACATCTTGAAGTTGCAGATAAACATTTCATAGTTTTGTGCATATCACAAAATAAACTGCGATCTAGCAGAAAGTAGAGTGAAATTCATCATTATCTATACACCCAACACATTTCCACCGTTGTCGGATATCGTCACATTTAGTAGCGGGCTAATGTGCCCTCTCTGACAAACCAGAACATTTCAAATTGCAATTCCCAATTCACCTAATAAGCATGGAGATAATTGCAAACCTTCTTGTGGAGAGGGACCATATAGACTGCTAGTCTAGGAGAATTTATTGTAACAACGCTTTACTGTTCTTTAACAGTATCGCGTTGTTAATGATAATAATTGTTCTCCATCAAACTTTCAATAAAACAGACCATTTTTCCATTCTTGTGACGCCATAAGAAGCTGTACAACTACTTATTCATGTTGGTATTTTTCGTTAAAATAAAGTTGTATTGCAGACCGATGCCATATTGGCACTATGCCAGTCACAAATCATATAATCACACCTCTTATAGACTACATTATGTAATATTATGAACGTTGTTGGTAATATTGCCAGCTGGTAGCTTGAATTTTTAATATAAGCTTGGAAAATTTACGTAAAAATGTAAAAAATGACTTTAATTTTTGTATTATAAAACCTCTAAATTAATTTTTTTATTAATACGTCATCATCATCATAGCATCGAACCTTTAATCCCCGAAGGGGTAGGCAGAGGTGCACATTACGGCACTTAATGCTACTGTGCAATGTAACACGCACTTTTCACTATGTATGTTATGGGTTTCATGTAATAGGCGGGTGAGCCTATTGCCATATACCGGGCACATTTCCAGACTTCGTGCTACCACTGAGAATTTACAAAAAACTAAGTAATATTTTCCCTGACCCAGGAATGGAACCCGAGACCCCTTGCCCGGTCTGTATATGTGAGTATAATAAGCTTAGCTGCATGGTGGCCGCAGGGTAGAAGACATGTATTACTGCTTCTCTTGCTACAGCAGTCGTTTTTTTTGTGGTATAAGCCGGTAAACGAGCAGACGGGTCACCTGATGGTAAGCAATCGGCGTTGCCCATAGATACCTAGAACACCAGAGGCGTTACAAGTGCGTTACCGGCCAGAGGCGTTACAAGGGATTGGGGAAATCGAGGAAGGGGGCGGGGGTAGTTGGGCCTCCGGTAAACTCACTCACACGACGAAACACAACGCAAGCGTTGTTCCACGTCGGTTTTCTGCTCGTCCGTGGTATCACCCTAGTCGAGCCGAATAATGTCTCTCCCACACTTATAGTAAGAGTCGTCGTAAGAGCTGGCTGAGGGAATACACATCTTACCGTGAGTTTCAGCACTCTGTGATAAATCTAAATCTTTTAAGCGAAGTTTGCCAAGGATATTTTGAAAATCCCTCTTTTGTAGAAGAGGGTCAGAGTCCAGAAGTGGAACGGTAACAAATCTCGTACTTAGTGAGTACTCAGATATTATTTTAGTGTGCTTATCATGCTAGGTATAACCAGTATAAGCTGACCTTCGAATGTCTGAAAAATAATCATAAAACGTGAAGCTATTTTATACTGGTTTTGTTTAGCTTGATGTGTCCAAAATTAGTGTTAGTATAATGTGCATGTTCTAGTTTGTCACTCTTATGATCCGATGAATCAAATTCGAGGTTTGCAATGCGATACTCTCGAGGAGAGGCGTAAGATAACTCGCGCAAGATCAGCTCTCGTTTTTGCCGAGTTGAGGTTTTTTTATACTTTTTGGACACATACAAAAAACAAAGAGTTTAAGACGCAAGTTAAGTGTAATTGAGATTGTTTCAGTTTCTGTGATAAACCACGCTGATTGAGTCTGCCACTGTGCCCGTGTACGGCAAAAGACTTTAACCGGGGCTCCGGCTCGACGTGCAGGAGAAGGAACGGGGTGGTTTTTAGTCAGTAAGAATCTGACACTCCCTCCCGCCTCACCCAGGCGGGAACAGTCATGCGATGATTTTCCCCCCTTAAAAAAAAATACTGTCCCTGTTCCATTGAACTTATCAATCTCTCTAGCATTAAAATCGTGACTCTTAATAATCTTACCGGTGTTTCCCATAGTCCATTTTACACGATTGCACAATTAATCGTATTATCAATATCGTACGTTTTCCGATTACGATACTGTATCGGACATCTTTTTCCAAAAAACCACTATAGCTAGATACATAAACATAACATCACGCCTTTTATCCCCGAAGGGGTAGGCAGAGGTGTACCTTACGGCACTTAATGCCACTGTACAATGTAACACCCACTTTTCACTATTTATGTTATGAGTCTCATGTAATAGGGGGTGCGCCTATTGCTATATACCACATTTCCAGACTCCGTGCTACTACTAAGGTTTTTACAAACCCAGTAATACTTTGCCCGACCCGGGAATCGAACCCAAGACTCCTTGCCCGGCAGTCGCACTTGCGACCACTTGGCCAATGAAGCAGTCATTACAGTTTAGCAAGATATCACACACAAAATTATAGCACGGTATAAATGGACTATGTAATATTTGAAGTCATTGAATAACAAAGTCACTATCGTAACTATAATCCGAACTAATATTATCAATATGATACTAAGTTTGTTTGTTACGTTATCATTATCACACGTTCTTCTTGATGTCAATGGATAGTACGGTATCTAAAAAAAATGTAGCGTCATACGCCCACGGATACTGTAGTATCCAAAGTGGTGTTTCCCTCCATCTAGTTTAAAATACGATATTGTTTGGTGAGTTTTGACATTTTTCGTAGATCTTTTTTTCGTATTTTTTAAGGAAATACAGACTCTGGCAAAGAAGTCTAACTGTTCCAATATTTCCATGAAAAAACTAATTAGATTTTCCAGTGCTACGAGCAAAATAACATTTGAAATTTTAACTCTTTCGGTAGATAAGCGTTGAATAGCATTTGGCTCATAGTATTACCCAGTCAAGGAGAGAGAGTCATTTTGAGATTTTCTGTCACAGATGGCGCTACAGTATTTTAAGGTCACTACACCTTTAAACTCATACTTATGGATACTTTTCCTTTGTCTTACGAGTGAATTCAAAGCAACAATTAGTATCACACAAAGCAAAAGGTAATTTCCAGATATTGTGATAATCTATTTGGAACTTTAATAAGAAAACAGATATCAATTTATTTATAAACATAACATGATTCAGTGAGTCATTTAGACCTTCTGTTTTCCTCAAGTTTAATTATCTTTAATAATAAACATATTTATTGATAGTAATTTGATAAGGAGTTTCTATGAAATTCAGGCTGGAGTTGTTTTTTGTGAGTCAGTTCTGATATCAGTAATCTTATCACATGTCTTTGAACAGTATAAATACTATATTTTACAAATGTTAACATTATACTCACATTGACTTCTTAAGAAGCAACAGTGGTTTCTTACTTGGAATTTGCTAACATTAAATCAAAATGGTAAGTAATATTTTTATTACTTTTCTCTATTCTATTATTACTACTATAAGAGGAGTCTTTCCTCGTAATTGATTATTCTTTTAATCATTACATCAGACTTAACTGTTTGTGTTTCCTATTGATCATTGTCCAGTTTTCTATTCTCTAGAAATGTATAATGTCTATTATTATCCTTATACGGATAATGTCTTTGTTCATACATACTCGTTTGTAGAAAACTCCTTCATAAAAACATTTGTGTAAAAATCATTATCGATATCGTACCTCATTTAATTTCTTATTTTTGCAAATTTTAGATGAAGAGCCTGATTTGGTTGCGGTGCTCGCCGCTCTGACTGTCTGCAATGACGCAGCCACTCTTCAAAACGCTGCCTTCAGGGCTAACCTCTACCAGGGAGGTATCAGGCCGGGAGACAGACTGCTCCACAGGTATGTACCAACTTTATTAAAATACATTTTATAATATTTAAATTAGGGTTCATTGTCCTTTGATGAAGACTTTTTGTCTAGTAAATGTAGCAAACGTTGTCGTCAAGGACTGGTACTTACTTACTTAATTAACATCACTTTTATAACTTGAGCCTCTGGAGTAAATAAATAATTCCATTAGAACTGAATCAAACCACATATCACGATTTGCCAATCATGTAAAACTCATAATGTATGAAAAATCAATGGACTCTATCTCCATAGGGTATCAAAGACATTGTCATGGAAATATTCACAAGAGAAAATTGTCGTTATGCTATTTTTATCCTCATAAAATATTCAATTGGGAACAAGTGATTCCAAGAACCATCCATTGATAAGAATGTTAAGAAACATATTATCAACAGATAAGGTGACAAGTGGAAACCCTATCATGATAACTTATTCATTGAAGATAATGGTCATGCACTTAAGACTCAAGTGTTTTGTAAACTCATGCAGTTGCAAAAATAAAATTGCATTTACTTGCAAATAGTACTTCACTGATTTAAAAAAATGAGCCTTATTACAATCGCCAAAAGAAATACTATTGAATATTCTTTTCTCTATTCCATTTACTCCTTTGTCAGTTAAAATCAAATGTATAGTTTCTAGATTGGCGTCTATTATGTGATCAATGTCTTCGTTTACATTAGATACTACACCATTAAAAAATTCATTGACATTAGTTTTAACTAAGTTCTCTTTCTCCCATATGGACATTTTATAAGCCAGAATAAAAGCTAACAATGCAAGTCTCTACTAAACACCTATCCTTCTAACGGTTTCTTACACCAGATTTTAATGTACAATTTTCTTTCTTCCAGCAACTACTACATCAAAAATCCCATTGCCAACGCTGTGCAGTACCAGGACATCACCTACCGTGGCAACTCCAGCACCAGGATCTCTTACATCCAAGTCACTGAGGTCGGCTACACCCAGTGGGGTATCCCATCCCTCAGGTCTGGTGGTGTCAACTATAGCTACGCTACCATCAGGTTAACTTCCCAAAGAGGCTACGGTTACTACTACCGTGTTGAGATCTGGGGTCGTTAAGACAACCACTGATAGACAACCAAAACGACCTAATGATATGAAATGAATTAGTATTAAAATCCTTCGGATAGTATTATTATTAATATTGTACTTAAGAGATAAGTGAATCTTACAAAGTTCTGATTGTAATAAAATTATTTATTGTTAAATTCATTTTAGTATTTTTCTTTCTTATGACCTGTGGTGCAGAATAATAAATTACACCTTGCCTTATCTAGAGCAATTATGCTAATATGCTCTACTTCTATCTATATCTTCGTTTGTTTATAGAAGACACACTTCACTTCAAACTTTTACAAAGACATATCGTTCTTTTGGACTACAAAAGATAAAAATTGATCAGAATCATCATTATCATCATCATCATTGACAGCCTATAAGTAGCCTCTGCTAACCAAAGGCCTCTTCTTACATTATCACTATTCTAAAAACATATACTGGTGAAAAAATGCCTTCTAGTCTCTCCTATGATGTGGTTTCGTCTTCAGTTGACTCGTGATTTGGGGATCATTGCAAGTTTACCAAAATTTAGAGTATTCTGCTGTCATGGAGACTGGTAGCAGTTTTAGGACAAAACCTGAGTTCCATTACTGATTTTAAATATTAACAATACAAAATGATAAATTGCTAACTAATAGAAAACTCAAAACTAAAAGAAACTCAAAGCCATTTATTTGAATTAACCATAATTTGGTACTTTTAAAACGTCAACAAATATAAAAATAAAGAATAGTCTGTCCGTCTGTGAGCTAGGAGCTCACAGACGGACTAGGAGCTCATTCCAAAAAGTAGATTCGATTGGACGAGAAAGAAACTCCATTCGTACCTCTTTTAAATCTTGTATGTTTTACAATCTCTCTAGTACATATTCGAATATTGTACATATATGTGAGAACAATGTAAAGACACGCTTGACGCATAATGCAAATTACAGAACTTATATAATAAAAAACAAAACAAAACTTAAATATTAATATTTAAATATTTTGTTTAGACGTTCAAAAGTGCCTTCTTGGTCTAATTGAAATAAATGATTTTGACTTTGACTTTGATAAGCATATTGCACTTCAGTGTTATAATTAGCGCATGATTCATAATTACTATTGTTGGAATCTCTAGAGTGTTGAAAGATTCGACAAAGGACTACTAATACGATAGACTTGGCGTCAGCGCTCTCTGATAGACATGGACCTTTTTTAAAGTGTCAAACACCAAGCGGTCACCGGTGACCGCAACCTAATGTTCTTTAATTGTGTCTATAAATACGGTACTCGACGAGTTAAACTGCAATCTTTCTCACTTATAAAACAGAGATTATAGCAGACATATTTACGTAGGAGAGGTCCATTGTCAAACATCGGACAGTCATGGACAGTTGATGATGAGTAAAAGCACTTATGTTTCCAACTAACCCCAAACTAGGTACTAAAACAAAGAGTAGGTAGGTAAACCCAGTAAAAGTTTCCAAAGAAAGCAATCAAATAAATTGAGCAAACCGACGGTTATGTGCGCTGGATGTATTTCCCAGATTTTCGTATCTAGCGACAAAATTTTTGGCACGAGTCCAATGTCAACGAGTTAGGTAACCACACCAGCAAAGCGAAATGGTCACAACATGGCGTGTCTTTACGTAATTTTGGAAAAGTAATAAATATATTTTATATAGGATAAGTCGGTAAACGAGCAGACGAATCATCCGATGGTAAGCTATCGGCGTCGCCCATGGCCATTTGGAACACCAGAGGCGTTACAAGTGCGTTACCGACCTTTTGGGGATTAGGAATTTGAGTATTATTGGGGGTTCAGGGATTAGGGAGATTGGGGCTCCAGCAACCTCACTCACACGATGAAATACAACGCAAGCCTTGTTTCACGTTGAGTTTCTGTGAGGCCCTGGTATCACTCTGGTCGAGCCGGCCTATTCATTCATGTTCTTCTTGACATAATTATATTTTACTTTTTTTTATTCTGTTTGGTATTAAATTTGTATTTATTTTTGACATAACAATTTGGACAAAAAAGTATTATTTTTCAATGAATTTAGTTTAATGAATATAATTGTATCAATTGAAGATTATTGTAATGTCTAAGATTTGCATGGACTTAGCTTATTTAATATTTCTACACCAGAAATGGTAGTATATGTGTTTCTATGTGTAATGTAAGATCTTAGTGTACCATGTACTTAGAAATAAATGTATCTTTATCTTTTTTTCTTTTTATATAAATAGGTACCACCCCTAATCTTTCCGTGGGTGAGAGCAAACTAAGAGACAGTGATTGGACAGCAATGCTTTCTAATAAACCGAAACCTTTAAAACTAAGATCTTCAAGTGGTCTAACGAGTGTGGTGGTTATAGGAAAATATCATACCTATGTGCATTGTCGATTGTCATTGTATTACTGTCAGTGTCGATGATGTTGATAAAAGAAGTTCTTTTTAATAGGCCACCTGTGCTTGCATTTTATTTTTTCTTCTCGTTGTATCTGAGAATTATTTATCAGGTAAGTTGGCTGCAAAAACGAATACGAGTTTGCTTCATAACGCACTTATAATACAATGTATGAGCACCTTTTTACAGCGCGAGCGCTAATGTAGCATTGGGTCGGTTTGTTTGATCGTTAGCAGTAATTAGTTATTATTATTCAGTAGTTAGACTTTAACAAACTCGCTAATTGACAAAGAGACTTCTCGCAGCATTTGCGTCACTTGATGAACAGAAAATGTTATACCTCACCTCATCAAGGACGTTGAAAAAACGGCAGACACAATATCTTGAAACAACGACTGTGGCACTTGGCTACTATAGACTTACACGCAGAACATGCACACATTGACACGAAGGGCATCTGTCGTTTTCTTAAGGCTGGTAACGTAGTAGTCTATTACACACGCACACATAAACAACCCACTGACATTTCGGTGCTTCAATCATTTGTAAGCGACATTATGTCCGCTGACAATTACCGTAATATAAGCGTATTTTTCACCGTCCTTGTGCCTCATTTTATAAATTCAGGGTTTCTTGCTACTCTCTGTGAGAAAGATTGGACTAGAGTATGATAACTACAGGCTTAATTTTAACCAATTAATACGTAATAGAAGTACCATAAGAATTCTCCCTTGCACCATGTAAGAAGTAAAAAAGCACTTTCGCATTTAAATGAACGACTACCGACATCTATACCGTCGACATGAAACTACGTTGACAATTAGCTCATTAAAAATGATAATGAGGTACACTAATCTTTTCGTTCACGATTGTAGATAGCGTTGTAAGCAATTAGCGAAATTGTTAGAGTCATAAGTAGTATTTTCTCTTTATTCAGGATGGGAAGTCATCTTCCATCCTGTAAGTATGAGATGGAAAGAACAAAAGAGTAATAGACTCTTACTGACTAATAATTATTTTACAAACTACGTTGAAAAAAACCGACTGCAACTCCCTCTTTTTGAGGTCGGGTCGATTGATAGACATACTTAAACGTTCTCCTAAGTGTAACAGACACTGTCCTGACAACCACATCGGAATCGGTTCAGTTAATAGCAACATAATCGTGCACAAAGACACATCTATTATATTTTTTTTTTTTTTTTTTTTTTTTAAGGGGGGAAAATCATCGAATGACTGCTCCCGCCTGGGTGAGGCGGAAGGGAGTGTCAGACTCTTACTGACTAAAAACCACCCCGTTCCTTCTCCTGCACGTCGAGCCGGAGCCCCGGTTACCCGTTAGGTTCTCCGCGACTCCGAATCGGCATCGGCCCTATTGGGCCCCATCTGTGGTGGTCTGATGGCTCTTTGAGGCGCGCGCGGAACGCGACGCGCCGTACGCTCGGGTCTGTTTCTGGTCGGACGGGGAGCCACCCATGCTCGCCGTCCGCAGGCCCGCGCTTACGGTGGCCGGAGATCGTCCCGCGATCCCCGACGCCCGGTGTGTCCTTCGCGATGGCTGGGTTGCGAGGAGGCAGCGCTTCGCTGCCTCACGCGTCCCGCCTCCTCCTTAGCTAGCATGACTGCTTCGCAAAAGGAGGAGACGGCATCCCAGTCCCCCTCGCTCCGCACATCTATTATATAGGTCAAACTGAAAACCTTCGTTTTTTGAAGTCGGTTAAAAATGAACTCGTCCCAACTCGTGTTCTATTTCGGGGCTATGGTATATAGTATAGGTTAATAGCTGCTAGTTACACATGTAAATAATGTAGGGATTAAGTAAATACCTGCCAAAGGCTAGGAAGATGAGAAAATGTAAAGAAATTGCAAGTGTGGGAGACCCATGCTTCGGCACGAATAAGCCGTCTCGACCGGACTGATACCACGGCCTCACAGAAAACCGACGTGAAGCAACGCTTGCGTTGTGTTTCATCGTGTGAGTGAGGTTACCGGAGGCCCAATTACCCTCTCCTTCCCCAATCTCCCCAATTCCTGAATCCCCAACGATCCTCAAACTCCTAATCCCCAAAAGGCCGGTAACGCACTTGTAACGCCTCTGGTGTTCCAGGTGTCCATGGGCGACGCCGATTGCTTACCATCAGGTGATCCGTCTGCTCGTTTACCGGCTTATGCCATAAAAAAAGGTAATTGTAATTAATAAAATCGTCAGTTTTCCCCATACCAACTGTTCTTAAGGGCTCGTTCACAAAACTACGATACGACGTCGCATCGCAAAAACGTGTGAGCTCCCTCTACACATCGCAAGAACTTGCGAATTGATTCGCATAGCGCATCAAAATCTTATCTTCCTTAAAATCTTCTTTATTTCTTTTTCCTGTATCTCCTAAGCAATAACAGAAGTACACACTTCTTTTTACTATCCATGTCACGACCTAGTTTTCAATTTAAATTACGTTTAGTAACGTTGATAGTCGTCGAAGGTATGGTCAACCCAGGCCAGACGCCTTGTCATCCGAAATGGCATCGCAGCAATTCGCATCGTAATTTTCTGCGTTGCGAAATTGCATCGCATCGCATCGCAGTTTTTTATTTGTTCGCCGAGTTAGC